TGCTCTTGGGGGTGTGGGGGTGCGGGTGTGGGGGTCGGGGAGGGGGAGGGGGAATGCAAAAGCAAAAGACATCGCCTTTGTGCTCTGCGACCTGATAATCTCTAGAATTGATGTCCTTTGATAAAACTGCCTATGCTTCAGCCAAGCCGAGGTGATGATGTGATCACGCTGAGGCGTGGCGAGCGAAAACAAAGAGCAGTCCAGCATTCTTGCATGCTGCATTTAGTCGGGGATGAGGGTTTTGTGTTGACGCCAGGGCATTTTCAGTTCCGGCTCGCTCCCTGTTTTTTTGTTGGCGCTGCAACGCGCTCTCGAGAGTGCACAATTTTGGACGCTGAATGTTTCTGACCAAACTGACCAACTTTTCAATTTGATGAAATGTCTTTAGCCAAATGGCTTACGAAAGATCGACACAACCTTTTCCAGTTGCGTTGTCGTGTCGTGATCGCTGAGCCGTTGTTGCGTCGCGTCCCCGCCGCGTCGTGTCGCGCCGTGTCGATCGTCACATCGTCGCCGTCTCCGTGTCGTCGCATCTTAGGTTCATTCGCTCGCAGGCTCGGATGTGAAGACTGGTGGAGACTAGACGTGAAACTGAGAATTGGAAAAGACTGGAGGCTGCAACTTTTAGAAACAGAAGGCAGCGTTCTGGCGGCAATGTTGGCAATGCTTTGGTGGTACGTTTGTGGCTACATTTTGGTGGTAACGTTTTGGTGGCAACAGCGGCTCAGGGTAACGCCAGCTCTGGGTTTACATTCTTGAGACATCCTCCATCGTCGTGTCCGTTGCGTCGTCCTTGCCTCATCGTCGGTGGTCGCTCGCCGCGTCGTCATCGTGTCGTCAAGGGCACGGTGACCTGTAAGTGGTTGGTTTTTTTTGCTTTTTTGGGCTCCGTCCAATGCCGGCGTGGACTCCCAGACCTGTGTACATCCGTGTGAAAATATCTCTTGCAAGCAACCAATGGGTGTCTAATGCGCTGTAAAACGTGACGCCAGCTCAGACTTTGTCCAGACAGGTTTCGTGTTTCCAACTTGAGGCTTGTCCAAATTCTAGGTCTTTTCCTCCGACTTTTCCAACCCAAGGGTGTCGTTTCCAGGGCAAAAGCTCTTCATGCAAAAATGAGAGTGTCTGGAAAGCATTTTGTCAAAGTCGTTGTCCGGTGAGTACGCGGCGCAGATGTGAAGCAAGAGATTTTGAAGTGGGTGTTACTGTTCTTTGAGCAACAATTGGAAAACAGACATGCTTAATCAGTTGGTGCAACACAGCGTCTTTCCATTGTTGTGTTTGCCAATGTGGTGGTGTGATTCTCTGCATGTCTCATGCACTGTGCAATGCTCATCGATGCGTGGTGCTGTGCGGCTCTTGTGCCGCACACTGTGTTTTTTGCATCTAAGCTCTCAATTTTTCGTGTTGGAAAGACGTTTTGTTTTGATGGAAAGACGTTTTGTTTTGATTTAGCGCAGCGCTTGACGCGCCAGACTTTACTTGCTGAAATGCATCATGTGTTTGCTAATTTAACTTGGAAATCATTTTGCCTCCATGGTCGCTTCGATCGCAGAAGCTGTTCGTAATGGCAACAAGGAATCTCTTGCCGGTGCAGATCTTCCGAGAAACTGCGATAGAAGCGAGAAGTGATTTCAAGTCAAATGAGTAGAGCTTGTTTTGGACATCGTCTGAGTAAAGTTGTCCTGGTTCTTGTTTTGTCGTTGCCAGCCGTGTTGTCAGCTTTGGTTTTTCCCTTTGTTTGCCCTTGTGGTACCTGCTTCCCGTCTCGGAATCGATGGCGTGATTGACAAACAGGGCAAGACTGAAAGTACCCAGAGCAAAGGCGGGCTCCAGATAATGCACCGCTGGGTAACATCGCGGCAAGGCCAACGCTGGTGAATGTTGAGAAGCAAACTACAAAATTTTTGGTTTTTGTGCAGAATTGCAGAAGCTGTGATGTCACCACAGGCCCATAGCCATAGGGCTGGCTTTTTCCAAGTGGTACACAGATTTTGCAAAGCATGCAGCGTGCAGACATCAATGTCCGCGATTCCAACCTTTGTTTCAAATTGCCTCATTTTCAGCTCCGAACCTGAAGCATTGCGGTGCGAAATAAGCGGGGCCAACCAGGACTTACATGCTGTGTCTGGAAAAGAAAAAATGATGATGATGGCCTTGACTGCGATGATGATGATGATGGTGATGATGCTGATCACGACCATGCAAAATGATCACCACGATGATGAAATCAGGAGCAACATGAGAATGACGACGAATTTGATGACGACGAATATGATGACAAATATGATGGTGATCATGATTATGATTATGATGATGATGATGAGGATGAAGATACGGATGAGAATGATGATGATGGCAAATAATGACAATGATGGCAATTGCAGATTGAAGTGCTTGGAAATCCTAGAAACGATCGAACAATTTTACTGACACCACCGAAAGATCTCGCACGATTCCCACATGCAGGGGGACAAGGGAAGACTAGTGCAGACAAGCGTCGAAAAACAACACAACACGTCGGCATTCCCTTGCTTAGCAAACTGGAGAGGACAAAGAGACGGGGAGTTTGAGCAAATACGGACAAAGGGAGCGGTTTGGGATAGCATTGTGCTCGAAATTTCAAGGCCCCGGTTTGTTGCAACAGACTTCAGAGCCGTGGTCGCAGTCTTGGCAAACCTAGAGGTTTTTCCTAGAGACCTTTCAGTTGAGCTGAACATTTGGCAACTGGGAATCTGTACTTGTTGATTCCGGTCAGTCATCCAACATTCGGGTCAAGGCGTCAGACATCTTAGCAAACGTCGCTGGTTTTGCAAAAGATTGTTTTGCGTTCGGGCTTGTCGCAGCTGGATCGTAACAGGTGGTGATGTAGTGGAAGAAACATGGACGCAAGCAATGACGGAATGTTGCAGACTAGCTGCTAGCTGCCACCTGATCTCATTCGCTTCGAATCCTTTGGATGACAACATTTCTTGAAATTCAGCCTGCTTCTTCGGTCTGCCTGGGCAGATAAACGTTCAATCGGGCACAGGGTGCCTTCTGGAGCTGATTCCACATGATCCGATGTAATGGAGCCGCTGCGCCTGCAACTCCCTCGACTTTTTCTTCGGAGCGTTTCCGACACTCAATACGAGCAGGCAGGGATTCGGTACTAACCGGAAGTAGCTCCTGGTCCAGCCGGCAAGTGAGCTGCGAGTCAGGGGATTTTCCACTTCACGCGAAAGCGCTTGGGTCTCGGATCTTCCATATATATATATAATATATATACATAATATATACATAATATATATATAATATAATATAATATAATATAATATAATATAATATAATATAATATAATATAATATATAATATAATATAATATATAATATAATATATAATATAATATAATATATAATATAATATATAATATAATATATAATATAATATATAATATAATATATAATATAATATATAATATAATATAATATA